CACTTGAAAAAACTTCTTTTTATTTTTTATTTATTTATTTTATTAAAGAAGATGCAAACATTCTGGAGATATATTGACACTGTTTTCTTATAGAAATGAATGTCGTCTTACAAGTATTTCAAGATTACATAGACAAAGTTTTAAATCCAGTTGTCTGTGTAAGATACGATGCTCAATTGTTTTTTAAATAAAGAAAACAAAATTTTCGCGAAAATTAGTGAGGAATCATATTTTCCTTTGCATGTATCAAAATTTCAGTGGAATCTAACATTTTCGCTTGATGTACCTACATTGGGCCTCAAAAAGTTAAAAATTGCTGGTAAAACGCTAAAAGCACGTCTTAAATAATAAACCATTTTTTTCTCACATTTTCTTTGTGAATACTTACAGTTAAATTACATTTTTCTTTCTTTGTACTTATTGTCAATGCGACTAAATTGTAGATGGTTTACAATTTCTCTTGAACTCATTTTTACCGCATAACTCTTATTGTACAGTGCTGTAAAAAAGGTTTAAAGAAAGAAAAGGTTGAAATATCGGTACACCACAATTCTAACCGCTATACAAAAACATAATGTTGATAATTCTCGTAATTATAACTTAAAAAAATATATAATATATGCAGGGTGATTCACAAAAGGTGACCAAAAATGAAACCTCGTATTGTCTGGTGAATATTTCCTATAAAGTTTTTATCCAGGACGCTTCGATGAAAAGATAAAGAAAAAATGTATGCAGGGTATATTCTACGCTAAAATCGTTTGGGGGTGGTTCATACGAAGTTACAAAATAATAATTTTATTATTCTTTTCTAGTGTCCATATCAAGATCCATGTCCCTGAACTGACCCACAAGCACAATCATCAGCACACGATCATCAAAGAGACCCCCACCGCCCGCTATGAAATCACGATCAGCGATCCTATCGGAGACAGAAAGGAACACAATCACGATTTCAACCCTGAAAACGAATATACCCACAAAGAAAAATACGCTTACAACCCGGAAAAGAAACATAAAACTAAACACAAGAAAGCAGGAAAGGACAAGCCCAAGAAACTGACAAAGAAGTACGTCGATGAACAGGAGTTTAAGCGGGTGCTGGAGAACTACAACGAGAAACCAGAGGAAAATGACGACGGCGGATTTAAGACCTCGGTACATACCGAACACTACGAAGTAAAGAAGATAAATCCAAACGCGAGATACCCCGACGAGAAATACATCATAGAAGGAGCCTACAAAGTACAAGAAACGGATCCTTGGGGTCAACCAGTAACGTCGTTTGAAAAGTACGATTCGCCTATTTCGAAGATAGCCGCTTCCATCATCACCAACTACGACTACACAAACTTTAGGCCTGGCGAAACGGACAGCTTCGGTAAAGAAAAAGATCGCGATCATGAAAAAAGCGAATACGGCGCAGACGACGAGGGTTACGACAATTACGACAACAAGAAGCGGTCGCAGAACTACAACAGTCCTTCCAGTCAAGGCCACAAACTGCAGTACTCGAATTATGAAGCGTATGAAACACCCAACGCAAAGGACAACGATAAAAACTACGAGAACTCAGGGGGGTACGAGATATTCGTAAACGAGAAGAAAGCGTATCAAGCAGCTCCTAAAAAGCCAAGCCATCAAAGCTTACATGCGTACCAAAGGCCTCAGGGATATACCGGCCCTCAGGGTTATGGCACCTTCAAGCCTGATGACAGCAAGCGCGTTGAAAACGTGAAGAAAAGGCCAGCTGACGTCGTATTCATAGTACCACAGGACAACGACGGCGTCCACAAGGAACTGGAATACGAGTTTGAGAAAGAATTTGGTCATTTGGTCCAACCGGGCCATACCGGAGGATCGGGTGAGTCCAACTACGACTATGACAGCGATTGGCAAAAACATATAATCGACTATCTATACGGAGGAGAACACGCTGCTTCAGATAAATTTGTACGGAGAGTTAAACCAGAAAATGTAAGGGAGGATTAGGGTTTTCCATTTTCACGCATCGTTTGTGTGGTAAAACAATTTTATCAAAACGTCGAAAAGCTGTATGTTCCTTCAGAAGAAACAATGTTAGCTTGATAATGGTTTTATATTTTTATACCAATTTTTGTTATTATCTGATTACCGATGCATGTGACAACAATAAAAGATCTGTCTTTGATATGTTTTAACGATAATGGGGATAAAAATTGGTCGGCCACTAAGTTAAACGTATATTACGACTATTTCTTTAGCTCATTATTTAGGTATATCCAAAGGCTTTTCGCGTTCATAGGAACCCTTGCACAATCCAATTTTTGAGCATCTACAACTCAAGAGATTAAAATGTTACTCCTTAGATGTCTTGAAGAGAATTCTTTTTAATACAAATATAAGTTGGTAGACAACCATCTGTACTGCATCTAATTATTCACATTCAACAAATATTTGTTATACATAATATGTATAATACGGAGATCGACTAATTCAAAGAAAGTGTTTCCCGGAATATTGTTGTCACGTGATTTTATATTTTGTTATTATACTTGCTTGCTTGTATAAATTTTGTTATAATAATTTACTGTTTGTAATATAAAGCACACTGTTGTATTTGTTTTGTGTACAATTTATAGAAACAAATTATAAATAAAAAATATTTTTACAATATGATTCTATTCTTATTCCAAATTGAGGGTAGATCAAAGATTCCTAGTCAAGGCTAAAAAAGTGCATTATAAGTCTGTAAATGGCGACGACCAGATACACAGGCCAAGGAATAACCCGAAAAACCATGATACTTTGAATAGCCATAAAACCATGATTACTTATTGAGAAAATCGAGTTTTATTAACAACATACATGTATTGTATCAAAAATGCGATAATAACATTTTTGTAAAAATCTTGGCTTCTTTGGAAATTGACTGTTAACAAGTATGTATGTTAGAGATTTGTCATAAGTCACTCAATATCATGGAGGATTTTAGCTATGAAAAATTTTCAGATATTCATCTAATATACGAACTTGCAGTAATGCTTCTGAAGTTGTTCGGATTTACGCCAACCGCTTTCCAAATAGAATTTGCATATTTGAAGTGACGAAAACCCCCATGCTATTATTCAGACAAAACACCAACAAAAATTTATCATTAATGTATGGATGGAAATAATTGGAAACTACTTAGTGGGACCACCTTAACCCTTTAAATATTTAAAATAACATGTGGCTTTAGCCCGATGGTGCACCACCCCATTTTAGCAGGGCAGTAAGGGCTTGTTTAAGTATCACATTTCCCGATAGATGGATCGGTCGAGGTAGTCTTTTTCGTGGCCGCCTCGGTCACCCGATCTTAATCCTTTCGATTTTTTTCTTTGGGGCCATATTTAAAGTCTTGTTTATCAAGCTCCTATAAATAGTAGGGAAGAATTATTAAATCCCATAATTACATACGTAAACATCATTAGAAATGATCACCACATGTTATTCCGAATACAGCAGAAGTAATTGAGCAATTTAAGAAAATGCAAATATTGAACAACTTACTTAACAGTTCTCTTTTTTTTGTCAATTCTATGGAAACCAAAATTTTTACAAAAATGTTAGATTCACATTTTTCGATTCGATTTTCAATTCGATTTTCTCAAAAACGGTACAAGATATCCACTCATATACGGTATAATTTTTTTTTTTTTGGCAAAATGGAGAGAGAGAGGACACGAACTATGGAAGAAAAATGTGAAATTTGGCAAAGATGTATAAATTTAAATGGATATTTTCGTCTGCTCCTGTATAATCCAGTCATATTGAATATCAGTTTAAACTTAGAAATGAACACTGCCACGAGTTACTTTAATTGCCCAAATTTCATTGTTGTCATGGTAATGACTTAGAAGTTATAATTGGAATTTGTTTTTCAAACTTCTTTCTTTAAAGGAACTCCACAACGAAGCCCTATAAGAAATTTTTTTATGAAGTACTACATTTATTTTGACCTCCCATGTATACCACTTCATTTTTGACATGACCTTTCCGGACACCCTGTATGTATTTAACAAAAATATTTTTCCTGGATAATTTACAAACAGGGGTTTTAGAGAACTTGTTTTATGCAACCAAATATACTCAGATATCTGTATTACCTGATGTAAATGGACAAATAACTTTAAATGAATTAACTTGGTTTGCAAGTCTTCGTGACGGCTGTCAAGATTGCAGGTAGAGATCAATTTTTTTTTATCAAATTGAAGAAGTAAGTATGGGTTCAGAAGACCCTGGAGTTAGAGATGTTAACGATACAAATAAACATACAGAAGAATTGTAGCATTATTGAAGGAAAAAGAAACTAGAAACAAGTCACTAAGCAAATTGACTAGTCGTCTCAGTCATAGAAGTAGAGCCAGATATACAGATAGCATTATTGGAATACACCTGGATATTACCTTCACCATGGAAGTGGATAGGAAGGATACCATTCCGTCCCTAGCTGCAATTATTAAAAGGAAGCCAGACTTTGGGGAACTACATCACCTATGATCACCTTCCAGAAGAAATAGATACCTATAATTACAGAAATACTGAACAAGCCATCAAACTGATACTTAAGAACAATGAAGAGAAGGCAACAACGAATATACAAATACAGAACTGTCTACAGCACTTCAAGAATATAGATCAGCAAACACTCCAAGACATGTGAAAACTCAAATCATTTTAACTGAAACTACATACAATTTGGAAGTGATTCATCTACAAGAATTAAGAACAAGAACGTCAGAGAACGGTCAATAAAGAAATCTCAAGGAGTCTAAACCAATGACGTGGCAACCAGCCGCGAAATGGTTCAACTACTTAAAAGAATTAGTTTGCTGTTCCGATATTACTAGTCTAAAAAATTATATAAATGATTTTTAGACAGTTTAGGTAGTTTCAAAGTTTTTGCACGAACTAAAGCCGAAATCAATTAAATATTTTTATTACAAAAGTAAAAAAGAGGTAACAATAACAACAACTAAAATAAAATTAAATAATAAAAGTAACAAATAGGACTAGTTTGGCATTTGTAAGGGGAAAACAAGAGGAGAAAAACCCTCCTTGAATAAATTGCATTTAGTGGTAGCCCCCGTGGCCTCCGTCGTCGCCGCCCCCATGGACCTCGTAACCGCCTCCTCCAATGTCGCCACCTCCGTAACCGCCGCTGAAGTCGTGCCCCTCGTTCGAGATGGCGTTGTGTTCGAAACCGCCGCCACCATAACTGTAGTCGCCGCCGCCCCCAGATGATGATCCGACGTCGTGAACGGCTTCGGCGCTGATTCCGTGACCGCCTCCTGCGGCGTATCCGTGACCGCCCCCGATGCCGCCTCCGTGACCTCCGACATCACCTGAAAAGTAATTAGAAATTAAAATTTTTGTACATGTCCAGCAACTAACTTCAACTTCAGTTAAGTTTTCATTGGCAAAGTCAAAGTTTAGAGAATTTAAAACGCATTTTGTTGATTAGTCAATATGAAGAATATTTGTTTTTTTTTTTTCATGTGGAAATTGCATTTTCAATGAAAATTTAACTGAACCGTCAAAATATCTCTTGGGATAAGATTTGGATATTTTAATTTAAAAGAATTTTTTATAAGAATTCATAATTCGTCCGAAAGCAATCATGTGTTGATTTAAAGAAATGAATATATATGACTAATATCCAAATAGACGGATAGGATATACATGGCCTCCATGTTCTCCAGATTGGAAGACATTGGAATTTTTGGACCATTTATTTTATTGCTACCGAATTTATTATTATTTAATTTTGATTGTTATGAAGTTCTAGTTGTTAAAAAACAACTTGAAATGGCGCAATTTTGTTCATATATTTGTCAGTTTTTGCCTTTAAAAAATATCTTGCAACTCAAAAATTGCAACTATTTTCACTGGCATAAAAGATACCATATCTACGTCACTGAATAATTATTTTTAATCCTAAGCTTTTATCAGAAAGTGTAGTTAACAAAGTCTTAAAAAGGGAAAAAACTGAGCTAGTGTCAAAAATAAATATATCTTCTCTTTTTATTCACTTTACCACTCTGAAACTTATAAACTGTTAATAATTGCTCTATTTTATTGTGATTTTCTTTTGTAATTACTATGAATCACATTGTTTAATATACTAAAATATTAAATGTTAAATGAGTATGAACGAAAAAAATTTAATAGAGAAGAAAAAGGTTCTAAAATTTGTCGTCCATACATACAGGGTGTTTGGTAAGTTGATGCATTCCTTGCACGAGGTTATAGTACAAGTGATTTGTGATATATTTCCTTAATATACCATATTCCGAAAACGCTTAGTTTTCGATCTAGTGTTAAAGTTTTAATAAAAAAAATGCAAATTTATAAATATTGTCGAAACCGCTCAGAATATTTTAATGAAATTTTACAGGTGTTGACAGTTAACAACAATACATGTTTTACGATAAAAATATTGTTTTCAGTTACACCAGTGGCGTGCGCACAGGCATGTCTCTAGATATTATTAAAGAAAAAATGATACACCACTGATATTTCTTAAAATAAAAATTATTTTTGAATTCCTTGTTCAATTTAGAAGAGAAAAAGCGTCTCGACTGTTTTTCTTATGACGCACCATTTTCGAGTAAAAAAATAAAATCGATTTATTGTATGGCGTAATTCGGTTTCAATAATTTGAAAAATAGCAGAAGTTATGCACTTAACTGCTTCACACTCAAAGTGACAGCTATTATTAATTTTGTCAAACAATAACAGAAACGAGTGCACAGCCAACTTGCTAATTTATGTTGTTAACTGCGAGGAATAATAATTTTTTGTAATAAAATTGGTACAAAAAAAGCTGAGTGCATAATTTCTGCTATTTTTCAAATTATTGAAACCGTTTTCAAATTATTGAAACGGGATTACGCCATCGATTTTAATTTTTTTACTCGAAAATGGTGCGTCATAAGAAAAACAGCGGAGAGACCTTTTCTCTTCCAAATTGAACAAGGAATTGAAAAATAATTTTAATTTTAAGAAAAATCAGTGGCGTATCATTTTTTTTTAATATCCAAAGACGTGTCTGTGCGCACGCCACTGGTGAAACTAAAAACAATATTTTTATCGTAAAACATGTATTGTTGTTAATTGTCAAAGCTTTTAAAATTTCATTAAAATATTCTGAGCGATTTCCGCAATATTTATAAATTTGTATTTTTTTATTAAAACTTTATCACCCTGTAGATCGGAAACTAAGCGTTTTCGGAATATGGTATATTCAGGAAATATATCATAAATCACTTGCATCGACTTACCAAACTTACTGTTTAGCTTAATTTTTTTTCTATTGAAATTGTTGAAATGAAAGAAAAATATGGAATTTTTTTTTGAAAATGTATATTGAAATTGTTTAAACTTTTTCATAACGGATTTTGTGTTTTTCTAATTTCTATTTCCTCAAATAGTATGCATTATATGTACAAATGATGTAATATTGTCTGTGAATTATTCATTAGATAAGGATTTATCGAAAATTTGCCTGCTTTTCCAAGAAAATGCGTTTAATTCCTAGAACTAGCAATATTTCTATGCAAAAGTCACAAATGAACTATAAATTTTAGAACAAATTTAGACAAAATAGTCGTTAGGAAAATAAACCTTTTTTTTCTTATTTTCATAAAAAATAGGTGATTTCTCGGAATTGTCTTTTATACTTGAAATTTTGTTTACAGAAAATAAAATAAAATCACGTGTTGTAATAAAGTCTCTGCTAGTCTCAGATAGTCTTACAAATTTTGATCTATTGTAAATATGTTGTTATTTTTTTAATACTAAACGTATATGTAATTGAGTAAAGCAAGATGGTTAGCTAATATTATTAGCTAATCGATAATTTTTGGATTAAAAAAAATGTCAATACGAAACAACGTAAATATAGTCTTAAAAAAAATTGCACTACATGCATTTTTCGAATGCTATCAATTACTGCTACTAAAAGCTACGAGTTAATATCTACTGTTAGAAGAAATTGCTAATAGTTGGTAGGTAGGTGAAGTACGAATATGAAGTCTTACAAACTGGGACTGTTAAAGGTAGATACACCCTTTCCCAAGAAAAGTACACGTCAGGCAGTTAACTTGTCACTGTCGTTTTAGTATGAAGTTACAGTCAAAGAGTCAGAGAAAAAAATAGAAAAATAGTAATAAGTAACTTTTTTATTACAAAACATATAAAAGTATAAAAAAAGGTTATAACAAACAACAGGTGACAGACATAACAAGGAATTAAATAATACTGCCAATAACAACGAAGCCAATGGCTTATGAGACAACAACGAAGACTTCAACTCTCACACACTTACAAGGTAAACATTTGAACTTTTATCACAAGAGCTTAGGGAACAAGAGGTTAGAAAACAGATGCAAACTAGCTACTAGTAGACGATAAGTTTTCTATCTACCTGCGTGACCGATTTCGATCCCGTGGCCGCCTCCGATGCCGCCTCCGAATCCACCGTCCCATCCACCTCCATGTCCAAAACCGCCGCCGTCTCCTCCGGAGCCGTGAGAAACCACCTCGCCGTCGTCAATGCCTCCGGAGTAGCCGATGACCTTGTAGAACTCGTTGTCTCCACCGCCGCCGCCGCCGCCGACGTGTTTTACCACCGTGTGCGTGTGGTGGATGTGTTTGACCTTGAATGGAACGTGGATGATCACTTTCTTGTGTCTGGAATAAAGAGCGATTTCGTTAGGGCTTCGCTAGCGCGTTTGAATGAAGCAGGTGTACCACAGGGGTCAATTGTGGGGCCGCATTATATTTACGTTGGTATCGACGATATTAGAATTTTGTTCCGAACGATATGGAGCCTGTGTATTATACTTTTCCTGTTTCGTTAAACTCTAGATCGAAACACGATTTCTTTTTTACAAACTTGATTTTAAATCTGAAATTCTGGAATGTGGAATATATTCCACATAATATTGTAAAAAAAACATATAAAAAAGTTCTTAAAAATACGAACAAATTTCGATGTTCATATCAATAATATATTTTTAATTTATAAATATTCAGAAGAGATCACAAAGTCCTTAAAATAATCTGCACATAGTTCTTTTTTCATCTGCTTAAGTTTTATATTTCATCCAAAAAATTCCTCATAATCCTTTTATTTCAAAGATTCAAATTAATAGCGGTTTGTTATTATAGAAAAAACAATAACTGGTGCACAAATTATATTCATGTTAAGTATTAGATGATTGTTTTGAATATGTAATATATAGTAGGTACTTGAAATTAATTATTAAATATAAGAGTTTCAAAAATATATGAATAAATACACTAATCAGAAAGGATGACAGTGGCCAAAGAACCATATCCATCATTATTTTTATAGAAAGATAAAACAATAACAGTGTCTAAGTACATCAAATATACCTTACGAAATAATTAGACCTTCGCAAATTTAAAATATTGCAACGTTATAATTATTATATTGAATATGTGTATACTGGAAACGATAATAATGTTACCAATTAGTTTGGAATTGGATTCAATTATTGTCAATGATGAGATGAGACGAGATCTAGTTTCCATTTTCAGCAATTTGCTTTAATGTAGATACAAGGTTTTATTAGACGAGATGAAAGTAAACAAATCAAAGAGATAGCTATCTAATACCCTGAAACGGTTAGAGAATCTTGCTCTTGACTTTCTTAATAGTTTTGCTGCTTATCAGGGCAAATAGTATTATGGTCGACTGCATTTGCCTTTTTAACATGGGTTCGTTGACTTTTCCACAATTTTCTTAGAATAATTACATTGCAGTTCAATGTGGAATGAATGGACAAATTCAAAGTAGAAAAAAAAATTGTTAGAAAGCATATTCACTTAAGAAAAACAAGTTATGGAATCATATTTTTATCACATTTGCTTTTGGCATATCTGTTGTGTTTTGTTAATTGTTTTTTTTCATTTTCATTCAAATAAGTGCAAAGTGGAAAATAATGGTTAGAATCGATATTCACCAAAGATAAACAAGTTGAAAGTCATATTTTTGTCACTTTTGCTTCTCCTTTTACCTCTAATAAGTTTAATTACTTGTTTTTTTAATTTTCATTGATTGTTTTTTGCGCAATATTGAAATGTAATCTAAGTTCCTTTATTTACACAATCAAGGACAATGTGGTAATAGCAACCGAAAAAGTACGACTCATACTTGATTTTATAAAATATTTCTGGGTTAGTGTTATTTTTGGTAATTTCAGGTTCAAGCCTCAATGTCAATACTAAAAAAAATTGCTTACCCTCCTCCACCACCACCTCCAGCGCTGCACAGTTCAAACAGAGCTAGGACAATAAACGAAGCAATCTGAAAACAACGAAAAAAAAAATGATAGCACAAAATTCACGCTTCACAATCAATTAAATTCTTTACCAATAGACGAAAAGCCATTTTCGTATAGCTACGTGAATCTAACAGCTAGGCTTGCACTGCACTAAATCCAAATATGTTGTGATGGTCTATCAAGATCGCCGCTCTCTATTTATATGCCTCAGATTTGTGCACAAATGAAAGGAAAAAGATGTGAGGCAGTGGAATCATGAAAGTACAAGAAAAACGCATCCGACCATTTACCCTGGACGAGGTTATTGTCGTCTCTTTCTAATCTGTATCGCGCCAGCAGCCTACATGTGCTGTCATTAATGTAATTGGATTTAGCTACATCCCAATTAAGATATGCCATTGAACAGTTACTTTGTGGAAGCTAAATAAAGCTCGGTGTAATGGCTTCAAATATCAAATTGCTTTTTAATATCATTTTTAAAGTGTACATTAACAAAGATGGAAATTAATTCTCTATTAACTGATTTATAAATTCTTCTTACTTCATTTTTAATCAAGAATTGTTGATAAATAATCTTAGTATATAAATGGTTTTACATAGTTTGTATTAATGTACAATTTACAAACAGCAACGAAAATAAGAAAACAGACTTGTTTGACTTCTATAATAAAAACTAGTTCAAGTTTATTCACATGCTTTGTAATATCTGCAGAAATTATGTCTTCTAATATCAGTTTTAAGTCCATCTAATGAAATATCCTGAAAACATTATGTATTTGAATTTATTCAACATCTATTTTTTCACTTTATCCAACTAAATGAAATATATATACCTATAGGATGTTTTCTGTAAAATTACAAAATTCGAGGCCGACTTTTGCAGTATTAACAAAACATAACATACAGTGTGGCCTGCTAAAAATCAGAACAACCTCCTAAACATTTTTTTGGGACGCATGATTCGTAACTTTTTTTAGATAAACGGCCTTTTAGATGTACTGGCTGAACTAAAAACTATGGCGCAATTGGCATTCTATGTATCTGTAATCTTTTATATTAGAATATGGAAATGTAGCCTTAAAACCCTTATATTACAATTTTCGACTCACAATGAAGCTCATTTTTCTTACACTTCAATGATTCAAAATCTAGGAGGCCTTAGAAATGCCTGATTGGCCAATTTGTGACTCTACCGATTATAATTAACGAATAGCACAGTTTGGCATAGTCGTAATTTCTAATTCGTGGTACAAAGAAACATCTTCAGATGTTTAAAAAAATTATTCTGCATTATAAATTGATAAAATTTGAGATATGCGGGTTTTAATAACTCCTATTAAGTTTACAAAAATTTGGGAATAGATGCGTGATGAAAAATGGAGTCAATATCGTAAAAAAAATTATATCCTCATAGCTCCCAAGAAAAAAATTATTGGCCCCATTCCGAACACTGAAATCCGATTTTAGTCGGGTGCGATAGTGTTTACATTAGTTTTTCAAGCGTCAAAAATGGCTTACGTGTATAGCAACTCGAGTTGATGGTGAAGCAAGTCAATATTTGTGTTATGATGAAACTATTGTGTTATGGTGAAGCAAGACAACATTTGTGTTAGTTCATAGAAACTGGGTAAGACGGGCTCAAATGTATTTACACTTCGGTGGACAATAACGACAAAAGCAGTTGAATTTGCTGATATAAAATAGGTGTTACAAAATTGTTTTTATTTATTTCTTTCCTTAGGAAAGAAATTCTTTAAATTTTATGTCCGTTCATCTTTTTTTACACTTTGCCGCCGTGCCAGTCGCCGACTGAATTTTTTGCGTTGTGCGCGGTTAGTTTCCAGTGCCCTGCAGAACAGTATTTTTAAATCATTTTCAATCTGCCCTGTTTGATTTTTTTAAAAAAACTGTATCTGTATTTATACGATCAAAAATTTTTTTTTTGTATAAGTTCTGGATTACCCTGTATATCAACTGCAACTAAATTACACAAAAGATGTACCTTTAAATTCAATTTGTATAAATCTTTCAGTCTATATAGATCTATATAGATAATAGATCAATGAATGTATACAAGAAGTTCAGTTATGAAGCTCCCGGCAATATTTTTTTATGCCACTTGAAACGCTGATATTGAACTTGACAACTTTCTATCCCGAAACGGTACAAAAAAAGCTTTTTTACTTCTTCAGTACCTAATAGTACTGTATGGACATGGACGTAAACAATTTTTACACTGGCTAAATTTGAAAGTTAATCGCGGTGGGAAGTCATTACCTTGTGAATGAATGCGTGTTCAATTAAACGTATTCATTTTATTTTTCGCTTGGTTGTTTATTTACGTAGAGAAAGGTTGGGCAGAAGCTTTACCTGTTATTTTCCTTTAAATGATGCTGGAATTCCAAACAATATCTATACAATTTTTTTTTAAACATTATTAGTTCTGGCCTGATATCCACCCACCTGTCTCTTGATTGCTAATACATCACCTCCTGTATTAGCCAGTAACGTTGCTGATGTTCTTCGGAATGAATGGCCTGTATATGTTTCAGGATGTTCTAGTTTAAAAAATGTGCAATCTTATTGGGAATCATCGAAAGAGTATTCCTGCCGACTGGTTGGTTGTAGCATCTACTTGCTTGATAGCGCGTAAAGAAGCGTGAAATTTCAGTTTTAATTTCCAATATAATACTGATATATTTCTTGAGAATTTCTAGGTGAGAAACAGAACCCAGACGAGAAGTCAAGTTTCTTTGAAATATCTGAGTTTGCAAAAAAAAATCTCTCAATATATGTAATTTTTTATTGAAGCGAATAAAACAGTAACATGAAGGATTAGAATTTGGAAAAGTTTATAACAATTAAGATTCATTTTTGAATCTCAATCAATCCGCCTTTAAAATTTGTTTCTATAACTATTCGCTGTGATTTCGCTGATCTCTTTCACATTCCTCAGATGACCAGTTAGAAATTCGATTTTTTTTTCCGCCCAACTCGTCCGTTACGTAAATCCGACGTAAAAATCACGCGCCTTTCTCTGGCACCCTTGAAACCCGTTCACTTCTTCGCACGGTTCGCCCAATTTCCGCTGCACTTTGTACCTTTCTACCGGCAACTTATCAAAATGAAAGTAAAGCGGATAATCCAGGGACAAAATAACAAACACAATCTATTTCAAGCTTCTAACCTTTCTTCCTTGGCAAGTAAGTAAATTCATCGGTCAGTATCGATTTTTGGTCCAGTGAGAACCGGCGAGCGTGTGAAAATTGTGTGAAAACGAGTGTGCATGTGTAAAGACAATTACGGGCGTCTTCGTGAACAACTGCATCATCTTTTGGAAAGCTGCCATTGTTCTACCGGTAATGTTTGCACGAAAAATAGACGTTATTACGAAGAAATCTGATGTTCGTTTTCCGTTTGGTGATACAGGAGAGCTAGGAAACTGTTCACGGTACTTATCAGAGCTATAAAATAGTTTCGAACAATAACTATTGAATTTCACTTAATAATTAGTTATTAACATTAATTCCTCGCGAGGGAAAACGTATCGAAGCGTTTTTCTAGTCTGCTCAATGGGCTGTAAAAGAAATATACGATTCGTGAGAAGTTTGGTAGTAATAAACAGTAAGCATTACAACAATTATAATATCGACCTACAAATAGCTTGATATACACGATAAGTATAGTATTCATTATTTGTAGTTATCTCAAGTTAAGCGAAAATCCACTAATACCCAATTTTTTACCTTTTTCTGAATCACGTTTCTTGCATCGAAATTTTTTTGATCAAAAAATGGTAAAAGTGGCTTGTAGAGGACACTTTGAAGTTTTCAAAACCCTGCATAGATTTTCTGTACGATCATTAGTTCCCCTGCAATCAATTATCAAAGCCAAATAGACTAGGGCGGATCTGTTTTGAGGTGGGTGTGAGAGGGGGCAAGCAAATTTTTTCTGGATTACCTTCAGTACAACTCACACAATAAAAGTTTACTTATATCTTGGAACCTATCCATTTTGTAAGAATATTGAAGAAGAAGAAAAGTTTTAGAATTGAATTTTGTACAATATACTGTAAGTTAAAAATGTTTAAATTTATTACCGATGTAAATGTAAATAGCAATAATTGATGAAAAAAAGGCAAATTAGTCAAGTTTCTTGGATATATTTTTTTAATATTTTAATTGCTCCGAGGGCATTCTAATTTTAGTAAAAAAACTTTAGGGTATAATAAAACAACACACCAAATTTCATTAAAATCGGTTCTATAGTTTTCGCAAAATAATTTTTTGAAAAAAAATTTCGAATTTTCAAAATGTTGCACAGCCTCAAATAAAGCATCTAGATAATTAAAAAATTTTTCACATAGAAAAGACCGCTCAACATTTCAAATGGATTTTGAAAAATTGAAATCGGTTGATTAGGACAGCCACAGTAAATTTTAATAGTTTTTTCCTCATTTTTTTATTTTTAAACAATCTTACACTTATCAATTTGCAATTTAGTTTTTTTTTTCAAAAATTATAATTATAAAAAGCTATTGAATACCCCTGAATTTCTTATGATTATGATGAGGTGGTTAAATAAAAAAATTTTTTTTTCAAAATCACCTAGAAATTTAGGATTTTTTTATCCTTCAATTTTTGTGACTAGTATAGAACGAAAAACATTAATGTGAGGAAAAATTTCTAAACATCCGTTAAGATGTCATCCAATTGAAGAAAGTTGAACAACTTCAAACGTTTATTCAATTTATTAAGCATTTTATTTATTAATAATTTAATATCATGCTATTAATTTATAATTTTTTAATGTCCTTTAGTAATAACTCCAATAGCTATTATCAAATAAGTACACAGAAATAATTTAATAACTTTTCTTGCAACTTTATGTTTTATATTTTTGCTGTTCTTGAAGCGCTTAAGTAGTCAGATTTTTGTTCGTGCAACTCTCTTGGATTCGACAATGCCTATGTATGTTTTCAGCCACGAACATCGAATAATTTCAAATATTTCGAATTTTCACCACCAAGAACGCCGGTGACAACATTTTTAACATTAAGGCGATGTTTCGCATTGTATTAGCTAAGTCATGTCCAAAGAGTGACCGCAAAAATCGGCCGTTTTTTCAGAATTCGCAGAGAACTAAAGAAAATAAATAAAAATATGTTTTTGGTTCAAATTACTCGTAAAAAATAAGATGATCATAGCTTTTAGTTTTTTGTAAATTTTCAAAAATCACCCCTATTTAGGGGTTAAAAAATCGCCCAAAATGAAGAATTGAATATTGCCAATACCTTAAATATAAAAACTATTAGCATGTGAATTTTTCTATCGAATGATTCTTGATACAAAGAAAAATTTATTCTCATGACTGAAATAAGCATGTTGAATTAGAAAATCCACCCTTAAACGCGCTCAGGGGGTGGAATCATCCCCAAAAATAGAGAATCTCAGAAATAATTGTAAAAATTCCAAAAAAAATATATTAAGATAATTCACATGCTAATAGTTTTTATATCAATTGGTAATATTCAAATTCTTAATTTTTGGCATTTTTTCAACCCCTAAGTAAGGGCGATTTTTAAAATTTTCAAAATACTAAAAGCTATGCTCATTTCAGTTTTTTACGACAAGTAATTTGCGACCAAAAACATATTTTTATGTATTTTTTTATTTCTCTGCGAATTGTGAAAAAACGGGCGAAAATCACAAGTTTTTTGTGGTCACCCTTTGTATTCGTAAAATTTCTTCTCCAATTTTGCCACTTCTGAGAAGAGATCTCGTTTAACACTTTTATCAATGCCATATAAGCGGGAAAGTTATGAGAAAGTGACTAATTTATAACTTTTCATGCGAGTTTATTGTGATACCCTGACACTATATAGAAAGTTCATTTGTTCAACTACTGAAACTCAATCAAAAGATCATCATACTGTATGACGACGGTTTTTAATTCCTATAAATATTTACTTTTATGACTCGATGCAACAGTTCTGTCAAATATAATCCGAATTGAGACTTCCTGGAATTATATTCACTTTAAATGATTTCTTTTTGTTTCTTCATACCGTCTTTTGTTTGTCAACATTTCAAGGAGCTTTCTCAACATTAAAATTAATTTTCCATGATTCCTGAAGCACGGCGACTGCATGTTTCTACATATTTCAAAATTCAGTAACACGATAGCAAAATAGCTGCAGTAAGAGGTATGCTATTAAATATAACTAGAGGAAAATGGGCATAATTTCGTCTATTCAGTGCGAATTTTTGTTATAATAAGAGGTATTCACAACATACGTAAACCGTGGTAAGGCTTGGAGAATGTCTAAACTTTCTTTTTAATTTGACTAACAGTTCAATGGCGTCTTAATTAGTTGTATTCTGCTACCAGCTCCTGAGGTTCTGTTAGATTTGGTTATGGGACAATGCGTATATTTTAAATCAGATAAAATTTTTAAAATACCCATTACTTGGCATCCAATGTGATCAATATGTAATTTGTTTCATGTCAGTTACAGTCAAAGTGAAATTTAAAGTATTTCATTTGAAAATATCACAAGGAAAAACCAATTTGGATCGATATTGAAATGTTAATATTGTTTCACAATATTTTAGAGGTTTTTTTTATGGCGTTAGTGAAAAAAATTGCTGACCTTTTGAACTTGTTTCAAAAAACACAAACCTTGACAAAGGGAACGTTGTTAAAAATACAAAACATATTGGAAACAAGGTCTAGTCGCTTTTTCTTTATAATTGAGTAAAAAACCAAGTAAGATCAAAATCAATTAACACTCCTCCATTTCTAAGTGAACCTTAGCAGTAATTAAATTTCATTGTACATAAGAAACAAAACAAAACAACGGTTTACAGGAGAAAAACAATTGGAATACCAAATTCAAATAGGTATCTCGTTTTATCAAAGGCATTTACTAGCATTTTCCAAAATAAGCGTATATAAGTTTTTATATTTTGATCCGAACGTTTTAATCTCTGATATACAGGGTGTGCAAACATACAGGCTGAAAAACAAATTGTTATAAGTATGTATTAATTATTATTAATGTCATTTTTTGGACATTTTCATTATTTTAGATCACATATGCATACAAAAATGTAAATAACGAACACCGAAGTAGAAAAAAAGTCATAGAAAACTGAAGAAAAATTGGGTACATTTGCTCTCGAAAAATTAATTAGTAATTAATTAATAAATCATATATAAATTAAAATTTCATGGTTTTAAATGCGATTAATTTTATTACACTGAATAATTCCAATTAGTTGTAAATTAGACGTTCTTAAAATTACTTATTTGATAATCTAACGACTAGCGTATAATGTAATATTTAAAAACAACGACTTTCTAAAACATAATTCCGTAATGATACGATTGTTGCTCCATGCAAGCAGAAACATACGTTTGGAAAAGATAAAAGCACTATTACTAATTGTCTCTAATTTATATGTATATGTGGCATTCTTATATATAATCACTGTATTTCTGATACACTGAAAATGAACAGAACATTATTTTTTATAAATAAGTATACACTTCGAGCATAAGTCAAAGGGTTGATTTCATAAACAGTTTTGCCTAATCAGAGTACCTATGTTACACTAAGAAAAGTAGATTAATACTTTTGCTATTAGCACTATAATACATGGCATCTCAAGGACGAAGTAAGTTATTGTAGGATATTCTACATAAAGAAAAAAAACTGTCAAATTTGACTTTCAGTCATTTTGGTTGAAGATTTTGGGGATGGACGTAGAAAAAAATTTGCAAAAATTATCTTATCGTGTGTTGTAATGGTATAGTTACTTATTTTTATTTGCAAACATTGACAGAAGCAGACTGTCAGTAAAATTTAGTTTTCCCGGAAACATAGGTTTATTTTTTTGTGCAAATTGAACATTTTGTATAGGACGACCTAATTTATCCTATTTGACATGAAAATTTTCCAGGTTTTAAGAAAAGGGAAATGTTTATTCGTAAATAAAATGAAAACCACTGGGTTTAGGTATAGGGAAACCTTAACAAAGTTACACTTAATTTTAGTGCAGAATTCGAATACGTTAAAAAAATTAGGGGTTTCCATTTAAAAATTTCGAGTTTTCCACATTTTTTGAACTTCCTATTCGATAAAAAATTTTTTTATCACCACCCTGTATAAAAACTGGAAAATTGTCATGGCAAACCCTGTATGTCATAAAACAACCAATATGCACCGGTAGAAACCACAATGGCGATAATTAAAACGGACTTCATCAATAAATTATTCAAATCAGTACCTGCAAATGCTTTACAATTTCATCTAGAGGCGGATAATTTTGTTTTACCGTTTACCACCAACCAACATTCACTTCCATATAGGTATTGAAGTAAGTATTCCGCAATTGCGTAATATAATAGCAATAGAATTGCATTTAATACGCGTTTCTGCAGATTTCGTGACAATCTCCCCATCATCAAGCAACGTTCCCAACAAATTGCCCCTCGTCACGCCAATATTTAGCAAAAGGCTTAACAGTCTGGTACACTGCGGTCTAACAGCCACTGAACACTTCGAGTAGATAAAAAAAACACTGGGCTTTCGTCCAAAGGAACATAATTACCGTGATATAAACGTTGATCAGGATAGTGAACACCTAGTGCACCACTAGAACATCCTCGACGAGCATGGACCTCAAGTGGGTATGTACTTATGTTAAGATAATTATCCGACGAGCAGGTGTTGGGTTTTACAATTATTGTGATTTTGTCGAGTGAAAGCGAAACCCAGTTTAAAATGCCTTGCGTAAATACCAATTACGAGGAGTTGTTTAGATGTTAATCGTACCTATTCAGGTATGTTTTTGGAGGATGGAGTGTGTCTTTAATTGGGGTGTTTCAATAAGTGTTAAACAGTGCATGGAAAGTAAACAACAATTACGTTTTACCGATGAGTAATAACTGTTAATGGTTAATAAATTGATTGATTTATCTCTTAATCTTTTTGGCAATATAAACTCAGTTTTTTTTATTCTGAGAAAGTGTATGTATAAATTACGTTCGAAGGTATTTTTCTACGTGATTCACTTCTATATTTATTTTTAAAGTCCCATGGTACAAAGTGTTCTGATTTGCCCCTTTGAGTAACTGATGAAGAGCAATAAGGCCGTAACTGTAATTTTTTTAAAAAAACGTGTCATAAAACGTTGGTAAACATAATAAAGCACTTACACTTGTTTATAATATTTTAATGTAAAACAGATTATTTATAGCGAGATTAAGTTATAAAATTATCGTGAAAGACAACCAATTCTCTGTAGCGGAAAATTTAAAGGTATATAGACGCCAAAAAACGAGAAAATAGATTTGCCTGACAAAGCCGGCAAAAACATTTCATTTTTAATTATTTCTGATAGTTTAACCTTGTTTCTTTTTGCATGTTCCTATAGTTACGTTTATTTTATTATTTTATAAACGCATTTTATTTGGTAATTAAATGTCTTTTCGTTAGCGTTGTGTTCCTCAATTCATTATCATTATTTATTTTCTGCTCACTAGTTTGCGAATAATTTGACAGCAAAAAAAATATCTAACCCTTTTTGGCGTCAAAATGTAGCTATTTTTATGCTCTTCAAACTAACCTATAAAAAGTTTTATCCTGCTATTTCATTTTTTTAAGAAAACAACCTAAACTTGGATAAATAGCGGCAATAAATAAACAACATTTTCTTTAGAAATTTCAAACTTATACTATATTCATCAATTTTTGTGCTGAATTCATTTACGGAGACTAAAATTTTTGAGAAAATCCATAAAACATCATTTTTTTGAAATAACCCCATCTATAGGTTTCCATATTGAGGTAAATGACATTACGTATTAACCACGAGATAAAGCATGAAACGACCTTTCCAACGAGATTAACACTATGGGCTTTTGATGCGCCAATCCTTAAAAAAATTAATTTTTCTGATCAGACATTAGGGGCTTCCCCCACCCTTTCTGTCGAGATATAGAACAAAATGTCAATGACAAAAGTTATGCGCAATGAATCCAGTTATCCATATTTGTACTATTTGATATACCTGAATAGGAAACATTTCTGAGAAAAATTGAACTCTATGTTTTGGTATGTAGATTGCGAGATTTATCTTGGTAGATTTATTCATCAATTTTTTTTCCCCCAAGTTCTAGGGTCTATACTTTCCCTAATATCGTGCCTCGCCGACCTTAGTGGGGCCCCCTGTACAAAACTGTATAGAATTCTTATTGAGGATGTAATTTCCTTCTGTTGTCTAACATAATTTGTTTCAATATTCTTAAATTCAACAAAATTCTGAGGCTATCGATTATGTATTACTACATTTTTAATTAATTTCAATTCATTATTAAAAATTGAATGTCTTGATATCGATATCATGTTTCCAATCAAAATTTAGATATATGTGAACTGGTTTCCTATGAACGCTTGCTTCTAAAAAAAAGTGATGTGTTTTTGTATTTTGTATTTGTCCGCTTTTTTCAGTGAAGTTTTGGGCCAGGCAAAACTATTTCACACGAAAATAATAAGGAAATACAAAGTTTTAAAGTTTCAACTGATGTTATATATCAGCAATTTGTCGATTTATTTTTAAAAGCACCACATTTCTTCCAATCGCTAAAAATGTATGTCTAAGTACTACTACCTCTTACAGGACGATAGTATTACGTCATATTACATAAACGTTGCTGGTTTATCACTTTCTTTAAATGTTTATACTGGTTTCCGATTAGAAAATTCTTCGTTAAATAATTAATTCTTATCCAAATCTTACACGCAGTCACTCAAATGAGTCATAGTTTATTTAAGATAAACTTGTGTGAAATATTTTAATACCTAGGTAATTAAAATTGTATAAAAAATGATAGATATTATTTGTTGACAGTCGCTCAAGATCACTTGTATTCAAAATATGTATATTTGTTTAAATTTTTGAAAGAACGAACTGAAACCGATATACAGGACGTGTAGAAATTACTTATAATTTTCAGATAAAACAAGAGAGAACAAAGTAACTTCTCCCTTTCACCTTGACAAAAATTAACGAGACGATGTTATAGTTTACGGCTATAGGGATTGCCGTCGTAACTGTATCGAATACACTGCATTTTATTCTCGTGACAACATATAATTAAAAAAATGTGATTTAATAACAGTTCAAGGACTGAGAGATAAAATGATGCATTTCTCCATAGGTTTGCCAGCGCTGTATATTTTAACTTCATTTTCTGCGGTGTAAGGAAAACATATGTTATGATTATAATCCTTGCTCAAAAATATTTAACATTGTGGGCAACAATTAGGCAATCCTAACTAATATACGTTTCTTTATTTTCAGGTAATTCCACTAATCCTGCAATTTCAGTTTATCTTTGCTCAGTGGTAGGTACAATACAAACTATTAGAAACATATTTTAATTAAATGTCTTCTGTAATACCCACGTTCCTAACATCTCAGATTATCATTAAGAAGTACCAAATTGTGATTAAAATCTTTCTTAAAGAGTTCACTACGTTTGTGAAACATATATAGGTGTGTGTTGCTTGTTTTTTTAAATAAACAAAATTGTAAGTCCCTGTCATTTTCAGTTTTGCAAGCGGAAAGTTCACAATAATGATAATTAGATCATACTTTTGTGTAAAATATGGTTTAAACAAATATTTATAACAAGCTTGTTTGTTTATTGGTGTTAATATGCACTTGTTCTATGACAATCTTGTCTTTATTGATTGTGGGGGGTCAGTATGACATGTATATATCACTGTGATTAGAAGTAGAGGATTCTAATGAACGACAAATATAAAGGTCTAAAAAAGATAACTATAGTACGATCGTATACGATGCAAAGTAATAAATCATTGCCTGTCAAGGGAATCAGTGCAACACATTTTATAGGGGATTCTGGAAATTGAATAATTTCTTTATGCATTATAGATTAACAGTTATATATTTATGAAGGACAAAATGAAAAACAAAGGCATCTCCTTCGCACATTGGGCGGCAGGACAACAATACATTTATTACTCCCTTCATTCTCCCTCATATGACTTGTGTCTTATGCTTTTTGCCGCGGCGCGCGTGCCGGCCTGGCGTGGTTAGTTTCGTTTCGGTTGTATTGGTGCTGCGTGTTTCTCGCTCGCGATATTTGTGAGGTTATAACAGTTATAAGTGCAATTATATTTCTTTCGGGCTATATGTGTGTTTCGCGCTATTATTTGAGAGTTTGTGAGTGAAATCATATTTCTTGTGCTCCGTAGCAAAAGTGTTTTTAGTGTTTTATTTGTGTGCTGTGTGTGTGTTTCGGGGTGTTGTTTGTGAATCGTGAATGCTATTATATTTTCTGTGCTAGTGAAGTGAAGTCTTTTGTATTATTATTGCTCTGTTGTCGTTATATGGAGAAATGGAGGCGGTGCCTGGATGTTCGCGAGCCGGATGTACTGCTGTGGCTACAAAAAAATCTATATTAAGTTACAGAGAAAAAACGATAATATTAAATGTCTATAACCCTTTAGAAAAGGATCATCCCATGAAACTGAAGACTGGTTTGGTGGAAATGTGTTCTAGATATACTGGAGTAAGCGAATTATCTGTTTTCAAAATTTTAAGAGAGAAGAAAATTGAAGGAGACGTTAAGAAACCTAAAAAAGAGGGTGGAAAGAAGAAATTAACATTAAATGAAGATGAGAAAAATGCAGTTTGGCGTACAGTACATAAATCATAGAATTTATATTTTGTTTATAATTTGTTAACATTTCTTGTTTGATAGAAAAATAACTTAATTTGTTGAGATTGGTAGAGAATTGTTGTTAGTGTTTTCATTTGATAGAATCATATAATAGGATTTATATTTTGTTTTCATTCTGTAAATATTTATAGTATATCTGTTGTACAAGGTTTTTGCTTTGAAACTTCGTTCTCCTTATAAAAAAAAGAATCGTAATGGGGTGCGATGAAGAGATCAGTTCACGTCTGGAACCCTGTTCCTACAAAAATCCCTTTATTCTCATAAACTATTTGTTTTAAATGTAATTTATTATAAATCCAATTCGTTATTTAAATTCCACATATGTGCTACATTTCACCTCTGTACGTGCCACTGTTTATTGTTCCCTGCTCTATGATCAAGCTCGCCAGGTTAGTATTTGACGTATAACCGACCACTTCGTACACTCGATGCACCTGGCCGACTACAGCTAGTACCAGAACACAGTGCGTATGCGGCGGTATTTCAGATTTTACATTCAATTTCATTTTAAATTTGAAACGGTTCATCTTACGCCTCCTAAAAATGATGACACGATTTTCCTTTGATAAAAGACCGACAATTTTTTGCTCTATTTTGCATCGTTTACGATCGTACTATAGTTACGTGAATTACTCTATCCATAAAATAACTGTATTATGGTGATAACTTGGAGTCTAGATGTTCTCCTAAGAATTCTACAGATCCTGGATTTGTTATCTTACCATCATCGTACGTCAAAAGCTTTCGGTTTACTTCTGGTATCGTTGAAAAAATCATTGCAAATCGGTTTAAATCCACTGGCTTTAGAGACGCTATTCCAAGGCTAAATTTATCAAAGATCCGGGTGTAGTAGTTGTTATTTAATTTTTATCCAATTATTGTAACTGTTATCGGTGTATAATAGTGCATACCTGGTATGTGAGTATGATTTATAAAGTCTATCCAATAAAATTACAGAATTATTACCCACTGAGACCTCGTCTGATACAAGACATTGTATTAATGGTCCCTTTTTACGTTCAGAGATACCAAGATAGTTGTCTATGATAAATTATAGTTATTACACAGATAATCCTACCTGCACTTTAACTGAACGCGGTAGATATACAATTCTAATGCGTTTGAAAGAAATTTTAAGTAGCAGCAGTTGAATATTTTTTAATGATAGAACACATTTAAATAATTTATATTTTTATGGATATATGTGTAATAGTCTTATGTAAATTTTCTTGGAAATTTTTTCAGTTTACTAAAAATATTATTATAAATTTTTTGTTTCAAATTTAAACTTCCTCAAATTGTAGTGCAAATTTTGCAAATTGATTATTGATTTAAGAAACTCGAAATTAAAAAAAAAAGTAAACAATTTATAAAACTATATTATAGACTTTAAAGATTGACGGGTTTTCGAAATATTTAAATAAAAATCGCCATATTTAGCGCCTAGTGATGGATTTATTATTAAATAGCTGGGATATTAATCTGTGCATTCTATTGCAAGGAGAACCACCGACACCGGCCACTACCGGATCTACCTAGACGACAACCAGAGCTTAGCCATTCCCAAACGCCTCCCCGAAGTGAAGATACTCCATCCTCTAACGTACGGCGACAAGTTCTACGGGCAGCTGCCGAAGATAAACAAGAAACCCCCGAAATACGTCAAGCTGAAGCCCATTGACCTGGCGGATGTCGGGAAAAGATGCTGCGGGACCAAGTGGGCGTTGGGCGATACGGAAGTTGCCCTCGAGGAACTCATAAGACCCGTCTCGTTGTCGGCGTACCGGCCACCACAAGCCCGAATCCACGAATACCAAAACTTCGACGACGTCAAACCGGTTACCGAGATCATCGAGGACGACATCAAATACGATTTTCGAACGAAGACGCACTCGCTGCGGTAGAGGGCCGCTTGTTAAAACGCCTCTGCTTAGTGGTGTGGTGGTTTTGTCACGGAATAATACAAAAGTCTAATCGTGAAATAATCCTTTGTTCAGCCAAATCCTGTTACCCTTGAACCAATATATTTGGCTGTGCCCAAAGCGCGAAACTGAATTGGAAGACCGCTCCAGACAATTGCAATATATTTCCCAAAATTAAAAGTATTTAATGAAGTAATTAATTGGAAAATAAAATTGTATGGTCAATTCCGTGATTTTTGCAGTTTATACAAAAAAGTAAAATAAACAACGGTTTCTGAATTATCTGTTAAACTAAAGAAAAAGAGAATATTTCAATTTCGCTTCTGTATTATTCTGTTATCCTGTTGAAGGAGCCAGCTGTCAGTAATATTTTGATCTCAGTTTATAAAGGGGCAGTTTCCTTCAAACACAAAGAAAATCGAAATGTTTGTTTCTTAACAATACAGGGTGTAAGCAGTTTGACTGCCATTACTTCATCTTGAGATAGAGTAATCATAAATGAACAAAAAAGTTGTATATTACAGGGACGTAAGATTAACAGTTTTCAAAATACAGCGAGTATTAATATTGGGGAGTTTCATTACAACGTGACAACAACGCTTAACCTAATGTTACACAGCTGATGCACACCACGTGTGCACGCGGCAGACTTGTCCTATGGAATAACAAAAATGTAAACAACTATTATTGTGAAATATTTAGTTTTCAAGACGATTGTTTTCCAGTTTTTAAATAAATAAAATAAAATGTAGGGATTTTGTAGTACGAAGATAGTGTTGTACTTAAATTTTAGCTCAAATTTTAGTAGAATCTCTTAAAACAGGAACTTTTAATCAAATTATCAATTTGAAAAATATAATATAATAATTCTACGTATTAAAAATAATTTAGGTACTTACCAAAAAGCAAAATTCAGTAATTTTTAAATGCACAAGTACAAAACAAGCTACAATATATGCTCAAAATGTACACCACCAATTTCGACGCATGTACGACACCTTCGAATCCAATTTTCGCGAACTCGCTTTATCCTTATTTGATGGGTAGTGGCAAAAATTCGTTTTCGCAAGTCTTCGACTGTCGAATTCCAGATACCAACTGAATTGCGTATTATTGGACAGCTTAGTGCCTCGTGTTAACGAATAACCGCCGCGCCGTTGTCACATTGCTCGATATGAATTTTATCGAATTTTAAATTTATTACAACGCTAATTATTTTTTAGAATTAGAAGCAGAAAGAAGTTCAAAAATATGATAAACATTGTATTTTATGCTATTCTATGCACGCAGTTACGTCAATATTTCTTAATTAATCGAACTTTTGTACGTCAAATTGTAGATTTTGATTATTTTTTTCTCGGAAATGGTTAGAACCCATATAAGGTTTTTCTGTTTATTTTAATGTATTCTATCGTCTGTTAAAATTAAGGCAGTCAAAGTTCTAACACCACATTTTTTATATATTTCTGATAATTAGTTAACTTAAATCGGTAATAATTTTCTTATTTTGTTTTTCGTGTAGACCTCGTGTAGACCACTAAGCGAAATTGGCTTACCTGTTCTAATTTTTTAGATAGATACATAATGCGCGCAGATTTCTCTCGTTTACGATTAAAGACCCACTAAACCACTAGTAGGACGTCACAAGACGATGACGCAACAGACGTGAGGCCTTATAAATAATTGTAATGGTCTGGCCTGTGAAACACATGTTCATACTAAACTGGTACTTATTAGCGATTAAATTGATAACTGTGAGTATGTTTATTATTTTAAAAACTGTACTTAGCTGACTCTGATGTTAACCAATGTTTTCAAAACATTAGAATAGAGAAATTCCCTAGGATTGTTATAGAAACTGGACTATCAAAAAATTTTGTACTTTGAAAATAACTTTATAACGTAGGTGTTGCTATTGTGTTTGTTAACTTATTTTCTACACCTATAACACATATATGCTTTTAAAATAAGTAAAATTAATTAACAGATTTCTATAAGAATAAATTTTTAGTAAGTTGCTTTTATTTTCAATTGTTCTACTTGCTATTTAACGATTAATAGCTACATTTGAACTAAATTCAATTCTATCAAATGCTTATTTAGAGGCATACAATAATTATTATCAAAATATCTTAAAACGACGTAAATAGTTATACATATTTCATAAGTGTTACTATGTTATTTATTGTGCTGTATTTTTCTCAAATATTTCAAATTGTATTTCTGTAGGTATTTGCAAATAATATACACTAGTATTTTTTTAATATAATTTGCCTATTTATTATGATTCATTAGTTAATATGTTGCATCGAAGTACGAAATTTCGTTAGAATATTCTAGCCAAAAATATAACTTTTACATGAGACTACATTTTTCTCTTGGCAAGGTTCTCTTATTCATTTCAAAGCTTCCAAAATAAATTTAATGCTTGTAATACTAGAGATACATATTTTTTAATACATAAAAATATAATATTTAAATACAAAATAATAATGACTGATAAAAACTGCCTAAAAAACGTATAGTCCTAATTATTTGTATTTTTGTAATTCGACCCAATTTATTATTTATTTATAAGTTTAAATGTTGTAAATAATTTGTTTGTGTATTGTTTAAGTAACACTTTGTAGGCTTCAGTAAACCTATCCTCGGATTATGAAATATATATTCCATATATGTATTGCAGAACTTGATTAAATCATACCTAACATAGTGATGGTGGTGATTAATTCTACATGACATTTTAATTAAATTGAAGGAATGTGCAATTAATATGTAGCATAGATTTGATGAACTCAAGTAATGTTGAAAAACGCGTTAGTTCCTACTCATAAACATGACACCATATTTTAAAATTATCGGAATGTTCAGCTCAGTTGGTATGGAAATGAAGATTGTATCGAAACAAGAAACGCGTAGTTTCTCCCTTTTACTTGCATTTACATAAGATCGACATTTATATATCTTACAGTATCAACCGGTTTGGTTATACCTACATTACGGAAAATTACTAACGGCCCACGGCCTTTTCTTTCGAGTAGATATTCCGTCCGAGAGATCACAACACCATAAAAGAAGAAGTGAAAACTATAATTATTATTTCTGATCAAGTTTTGACAAGCATTACATTGACGGGTATATCGTGTGTCCTGAAATTCTCGCCATTTTACAATATTTAAAAAATAATGAAATGCTATTTCTTAAACTTTATCTTTATGCCTTAAAATAATTGATTTTCAAAGGTAGTTGGTCTCAACAAGTCAAATCCTTCAAAATTTCAAAAGCTAAAACTCCTATGAATCCACTTAGCCTTCATTCAAAAGTCCATCGACTTTTCCCTCATTTTTCCTCCCCTACCTTTGAAATTCCTTGTCTTAAAACGCATTTCTCAAATATCACTCTTCCTTTTCATCCAAATTAGTGGGTCTCTATCCCATAATTCATTAAAAGCTTTCACTGCCCTCCAACAATCTAATATTTAGATCCAAAGGAACGAATAGAATCTTAAACAATAAACCACTATCTAAGCTGTTTAATGAAATGTATTATATCCAGCTGTATTCTTAATAAGACAAAAGGCGACAAAATAAACTAAGAAATTAATCACACTATCAATAATTACGTTTGTATCACACCACGGATTGGCGCAGAACGTAACAGATAGATTACTTTCGCTGGAAATACTTTCACTGAAGGCTACAGATCAATGTCGTTTACTTGTGTTGCGGAAGAAGAAAGTATCCTTGACAATGTTGCTTGAATATCGCCACTCATAAGTTGAATGACACAGTTATTGGGCGTAAATACAACGGACGCCTCATTGGTTGCGGTAGAAAGCATTTTGATTTTTCGTTCTTTAGTTTTCTTTAGATCTGGACGAGGTCCAGAACATTTTCAAAATTGCAAAAAATAAAAAATGTACCTATTTTATCTGAGTTTTTCACTTATATCTTGGAACCTATGCATTTTGGAAGAATATTGAAGAGGAAAAAAGTTTTAGAATTGAATTTTGCACAATATACTGTATGTTAAAAATGTTTAAATTTACTGTCGATGTTGCAAAATAGCAATAATTGATGAAAAAAGGGCAAAATAATCAAGATTTTTTAATAATTTTTTAAAAATATTTTAGTTGTTACGAAGGCATTCTAATTTTGGTAAAAAAAACTTTATGGTATAATAAAACAGCACACCAAATTTCAATAAAATCGGTTCTATAGTTTTCGCAAAATAATTTTTTGAATAAAACTTTCAAAAAAATTTATCGAATTTTCAAAATGTTGCACAGCCTCAAATAAACCATCTGGATACTTGAAATAATTTTCACATAGAAAAGAACGCTCAACTTTCCAAATGGCTTTTGAAAATTTGAAATCAGTTGATTAAGACCCCCTGGTTTATATTCCTTAATAAGTCCTATACTGCCATCCACCGACGTTTCAGTGGTTCTATCAACGTATGTAGCATGTATCTAATGTAATTTAAATAAGTCTAATGCTATAAAATCAAAGGATCAACCCTTAATTCTAAAATGGGTATTTGCGTTAAAAAAATGTGTAACGTTTTGTCACTGAATACTGTTCTCTTTTTATACAATTTTTGATTTAAATCGTACGCCGTTGAATCAGCTTGTGACACAATAGACTATCAACAAGCTCTTACAGAAGGCTTCTTATATAAGTAACTTATCCCTGTCTTTTTGTTGATAATTAAAAAGGGAAAGCCAGTGGTATGAGATTTTAGTTGAACTACCGATTGGTAGATGGCGCAATCAAAGCATAGTCTAGCAGATCACGGACATCCACCAAATCGTTTCACTTTTTTTATATAATAATGTCAAATACGAGTATAGAATATGCACCCAGTTTGTTGTAACATTATATCATTTCATTTTTGTGATAATATATGAGAAGGTGACAAACACGCCATTCATATGGCTGAAAATAAACCATAGATTTTATTGTAGATGAGTATCTACATTAGATTTGATCATTTTAATATTTAGAGTTTGATTTTGGTATTTGTTTTATGCAACCAGATATACTCGGTTTATGTATTGAAGCAAGCTGTGCGATGTATATATGCAACCACAAATACAGCTCAATTCGAATGCAATAAATGGCGAATGCGCCGGTTCGGTGACATTCCTATTAGAAATCAATGAAGACCAAATGGTTGGAATCACAATGTATAAAATATCTGCTGTCGGAGTTATTATGATGATAAATTAACACAGATAATATACAATGTACAACCCATTTTTTATCGCTGTTCCACGGAATGCATAGTGAATTGCCTATAAGTCGGGCAATCATTTTCTGGGCTTGTGGTATAACTAGTTGCATAGATTTAGAAACTTTTGATAAATGATTTTAGTCATTTGAAATTTTATTTATAGTAAAAGTTTCTGCTGTGTAAGTCAACAAATTTCTAGAATATATTTAGTATCTCTATTTTCTCAATGGCCATATAAAAAATTTATCTGTAATTCATTACAA